GAAGAGACAGAAACAGCTGGGTTCACAAGAGGTCACACAAAAATGTCGCTTCTCAGTTTCAAGTGCAGTAGTTTCACAGCGGCAGGACTGCATACTTGAACAACCCTAAAGTCAAAGTCAGCTGAAGTTACGGAGTTTGGAGTTCATTTTTTTTTTTCTACAGACAAGCATGCTATTGCTTTTTGTATGGGGAAAAAAAGAAAGAAAGAAAGAAAAAAAAAAAAGAACCCTAACAAACTAACAAAAAGCAAATTTTAAAATCTCAAGAATGGGTACTCATGGAAACCAAAGTTTAAACAGATCAGTAAACAAGAGAGACAATGACCTGATTTCCAGCCTTTATAAATACAGCCACACCTCACCACAATGATTTTGTGTCAGTAACTGGTGGTGATGACAGAACTTTGTAGTTCAGTAAGTGCAATGCACTCAATGCACTGGAAGTAGGGTGGAACATCACTTACCAAAACTCTCTTCAAGGAGATCCATAGTAAACAGTACTTAAAAGCAGCCAGCTGGGAGCTTATCATGCATCTTAAGGCTGCAAATTAAATACAAACCTTCCACAGAATCACAAGGGTTGGAAAGGATCTCAAGAAACCGCTGAGTCCAAATCCCAGCCTGGCCAATAGCATGGCCACTCTCATTGCTCTGGTCATGAACCTTGGGCAAATAATTCATGTAGATAATTCAATAATTCAACTAGAAAAATGAGAATTATTAAATTGCCTGAGGCAGACATACCTAATGCACAGCTGTGTGGATAAACACAGGAAGGAATATAGCTTTGTTAGGGGTGTTTTTGCAGGGGCTGATAAACAGTAGTCATCAGCTAAGCTATTTCTAGCTGATGGAAGTATTCTAGCTCCTTCAGAATTAATATGGAATTCTTCGCAAAATAATTATTGCTCCTGGAGGGCTGACTTTAATATTTCTGTATTCTTATAATAATTTACTGCTCCTGAGATTACAACATTTTTTCATTCTGATGAAACAGCTCAATTGGAAGAGAAAACATTCATTTTTACAACAATTTCTCAACAGGACATGTTCTGAAAAGGTCTAAATTGCAGATATAAAAGAATGAATCTACCACAGAGATGTGGACAACAATCCAAACTTTAACTCGCAAGTGTTTGACTGTGTTGGGCACATTTCTCTCTCTCCTGGAGCATCTTCTGGTTATAAAGCACCAGGAGAGAAATCATAGCAATTATGGACATCTTCAGCCAGCTCTGATATTGGGAAAGTTTCCAAATCAGCATACTTTTTGCCAGTACAACACATAAGCATCCTGTACCCCTTTTTTGTTGGAAGTAGACCAAGAGGTCTGCTTAATGCACAACTGCATTTCAGAAATTACTGCTCCTCAGCAACAAATACTACAGGAAAACTTTGTGTGGAAATTCACAGCCAGAATGGGAGACAGCAGAACACACATCTGGCAGAACAACAGTCCTTAAATCTTTGCACATAAAATACTTAATGCTTTTTGTGCTGTGAATGGATGAGTGCTTGGGGAATAGATGAGAATAAGGAACTGGAGTTATATTAATAACAAGCTGATTAATCATCTTAACAGCCAAAAAGCTCATAACAGTAAGTAGAAATGATAGCTACACTCTGATTTTTAGCATGTGCCAGAATAATGCTGGTGCGAAGTAACAAAGTGAAAGGAGACACTGTCCTGATGAACATGTTTTACTCCTGTGTAGTGCTATTTATTCTGTATCATTAATCAAATTAGGCTCCTTCCTAACATTGAAAGGAAAAACTAAAGACAGCAAAACAAGACAAAACATAGATATTCTCCCAAGGCCAAAAAGGACGGGATTAAAAATATTCTCATCCAACCTACACATGATTAAACATTCCTCGAATGTTTGTCAGTATGAACAGAATTTCAGAAATTGCCCAACAGCTGTAATGCAAACAAAAATCATGTTTTCATCCTGAAAACACGTGTTGCAAGAGCTCACAGACCTACTTAATGTTCTGTTGATTCCTCTAAATATAGATGGCCTGCCCTGTTCTCAGACTTATCTAATGTTCACGTCTTGTTCTTTCTGCCAGATTTGACTAACCTATTTTAATTTGTATTATTGACATATACTAATGCATGCATATGTCAAATTATTTATGACATGCTCTGTCCCACCTTACTGACAATTTTGAGGCAATTAAAAATTGAAACTGTTCATACTTTCATGTAAACTTATGGTCTAGATAGATATTTTAGGTCTTCTCAACCATTCATTTCTCTTCCATGAAGGGAAAGGGAAGAAGAGAGGAGACTCCATTACACTAAAATTATTATCAAAGAAAAAAAAAAAAAAAAGAAAAAATGTTTTCAGTAATTAAAACATACTTTTAAGTCTGGTCAGTTGGTACACTGGCATAAGTTAGCAAACAAAACATGAAACAATTCCACTTAATAAAGCTAATAATTGTTAGGAGCAAATGTAGATTCAATGTGATGAAAAAGAAATTGACCAAAGCTAAATAGACCTGTAAACTTCCCAGCAGGAAAGATATTCAACTTACTTACATACATGTGTAAGGAAACCTTCTTTTGTTTCTTTTCATGGAATACTAGGCAATGGGAGATGAAACCATTTTCAGTAACAAGGATAGTGACTGCATCATCCTACTACACACGCATGAATAAATTACTGTGAACAATTCTATTTTGAATACATACACTTCTGTAACACTTGCATACAGATCTAAGTAAATAAGTACAGACCGGTCCACAAGATAAGGCTCCAAATCTATTGAAGCAGGCAGTACAGCCTATATATTAACCACATTTCCAGAATCACACAGAATCACAGAATGGCCAGGGTTGGAAGGGACCTCAAGGATCATGAATCTCCAACCCCCCCGCCACATGCAGGGCCACCAACCTCCACGTTTAATGCTAAACCAGGCTGCCCAGGGCCCCAGAACACATGTTCTTAGTAACATGGCTCGGTATAGCATGTAGCTCTTTGGTTATGATTTATTATTGAATATCGACTTAAAAGAGGATTAGCTTTGAAACAAATGAACAAACAAAAAATATAAACACAAAGAAGACAAACTCTTTAGACACTGAGATAAGCAAGGTAAAGCCTTTAATTTAAAATATTTTGGGGACAACCTGAACTAGAGAATGATATCCTTGCCTATGTCAGTAGGTTTGAACTAGATCACCATTAAAAGTCCCTTCCCATCCAAACCATTCTCTGATTCTAGGATTTTGCTGCTTTGAACTAAATTTCGATAGGCCCACATTAACATTTGCATGCCAGGATACCAAACCCCAATCAAAACTGCCTGTCTGTGAAAAGCATGAAAGTAAGTTTGAGCACTAAACAGAAACTACTGGTAACATAGGAAATTAATTATACTTTTCTCCAAAAACTTGTTGGATTTCCATATTTGGCCAGGATGAACAAAGTTCCCTATTCCATCCGAGCAGTTTTAGCATCGCTTCCAAATCGGGCGCAGGAAAACCTCACTTACCAGAGCTGACCACGGAGTGGTGCTATGGGAGCGAATATGGATTTATTTAGTCCTCTCAATGGCTCTGGGATACGCTGAAAAGCTTTTGTGGTGAGAAGAAAACAAACAGAAGGAAAAAAAAAAAAAAGAAAAGAAAAGAAAAAAAGAAAAAAAGGAAGATTAAAAAAAAATAAAAAAGAAAAGAAGAAAAGTCGGCCTGCTTTCATGCAAATTGATGGCAGAACTAGCATCCTGGCTTCTTATGAAAAACATGTTTTCTCTTTAGCTTTTTAAGTCGGCCGGCTTTGAAAACAGTAAGATGCAAGAGCAGCCATTAGAGGATGAAGTGTCCTCAGCAAGGATCTGCACCATCGCTGAAAATCATTGGGTTAAGCTGTCTGGAGAGTAACCCCATACTATATTCACATAGAAGAACCAGGTTGGAAGGGTCACATTAAGGATCATCGAGTCCAACTCCTGGTTCCACACAAGACCACCCAAAAATCAGACCACATTTAACCAAAGTTCACTCAATGCATTCACCACATTCACCTGAGCTACAGTGTTGGCTCCGTGCTTGTGTTAGCCTAATGCACCTGCTTGATCAATACAGGCTGCAGAAGTTCACGTGGTTATAAATAAAGCCTGCTGTGAGACTGTGTGCCAGCTTCATCACTCATTATTCATTAAAACATAAGGGAATCAAAGTATGTACACATATGAGCATGCAGTAATGCTTCCTCTCTTGTAGTGTTGGCCTATAACATCAGAGGCAGATGTCAGAGGGCTGGCAGTAGAGGCTGAACCTTCTCACCAATATCCCACTCCATGCTGTTGCTGTGGGACAGATGGCAACAGAGGGGCCGTGTGACAAAATGGCATCTGACAAGGAAGTGCGGATGGAGCAGAGGGGTAGCGCTGAATTCCTCCTCCATGCAGAAATTATTGCAGCCACTGACATTCACTGATGCCTCACTGACATTCACTGATGCCTGCTGAATGTTTGTAGAGACCAACCAGTGGATGTGAGCACAGCAAGGAAGTGGTGTTGCATTTCAGCAGTGCTGTCAGTAAGAGTGGGACACCTCTGCTGGAGCAGATTTGTTACAGGCTCTGCACGCAGGCTCTGGTTCATCGCTGGTGAAAATACATAGCTAATGGTGGTGCCTATGTGACAAAGCAGCGCTTTGTAGCTGAGAATTTGCTCTACTGAATAATGTTATTGTGCTCTTTGTGTCTGTTGCAGTTTCCAGGGAAATAAGTAGGAAACATTGCTTTCGTTGCAACCCACGAGCATCATTTTCAGCAATTCTTAGAGGTACCAAACCTAAGGGCCGCGCTGCCCAAGGCGGCACTGGGATCTCCAGGCTCGCTTCAGCACCAATTACAGCTCTTGGGCCCCGCCCCCTCCTTACGTTTTCTCCGCTGATTGGCTGTCTCTGCCCCTCCAGCGCGCAATTGGCGGCCGGACTGGTCGCCATGGTGAGAGAGGACGCCGTGCGGCCCCGCAGCGCCCGCCATCATGGCTGCCTACCGGCCCGGGGTGCTCGTGGGCAACTGGAAGGAGGAGGCGTGCCTGGAGGAGGTAGGCGAGCAGCGGGGCCTCCGCTCCAACCTCCGGGAGCCTCGCCTGCCTCTTCTCGTCGCGGTGCTTCCCCCAGTTCTGTTGAAAGCCGACGTTGCAGCGCCGGGTAACGCCGTGTTCCCTCTTCTCAAACAGGAGCGCCTGAGGGACTTCATGCAGAAGAGAGAACGGGGAGAACTTCTAATGCAGAAAATCAACAGACTGAAGGATAACCTTTTAAAGAAGGTCATTTTTAAAGGTTTTGTCAGTCCTTCGCGACCCTGCAGGGAACGGCAGAAGCTGTTTGTCGGCATTCCCAACGCTAGCATTTGATATCTAAAGCACCCCTGATGCCAAATTCGGATAACTCAGTACAAAATGTGGTGTGTTTTGGCTTAGGTGCAGCTGTCGGTGTCTAAGGATGGATTCGTTTGCTTTGGAGACACGGTGATGCTCCTGAGCCCAGGCAAGGAGCCCTCAGTGCAGTGTGATGTTGAGGCACATGGTGAGCTGACGCTGGCAGTTAACCTGGAGGAGGTGTCCATCTATTCGGCTGTGGCTCTGCATGCACCCTGCGCACTGAGCGCCATCACCACCACCAGCCCTGTGGGAAGGAACACGTTCTGTGTTTTAAGGTACGGTAACTTCATTCTTCATATGAGAGCGGTGAGGTGCTGGAACAGGCTGCCCACGGAGGTTGTGGTCCAAGGCCAGGTTGGATGGGGCCCTGGGCAGCCTGGTCTGGTTTTAGATATGGAGGCTGGCAGCCCTGCCTGCGGTGGGGAGGTTGAAGCTTGATGATCCTTGAGGTCCCTTCCAACCCAAGCCGTTCTATGATTCTTTTCCATAGTTTCATAGGTTTTCAGTGACGTTAGCTTTTGGTATCTTATTCTGAGAGATGTGCAATGAATTTTGCTAAAATACAAATGAGTTTGAGTAAGATTAAATTATTTAAGAAAGACTCTAAGTCTTATGTAGTAATGTAGTATTAAGTACTACTAAGTATTATGTAGTAATATGCTATGCATATTACTGTGAATAATTTCAAGGAAGTTTAAATCAGCACAGAACTGGTGTGAAAGCAGAATATCAGTAATACTATTTGTTCTTGTGCAATTAATGTCTCTGAAGCAGAAATTTGAGTCACAGTGGACAGTGCTTCAGTTGTCCTAAAAAAGACCTCTCCATCAAACAGGGTGTTCTCTCTCAAGGACACATGTAACTCCAGCTGTCTGTGGGAGAAGTAACAGAACAAGTCCCTGCTCAACAGTGGAAGGCTCTGCCTTAGTGCATGTATTTAAGTATAACAACAGTGCACAAGTGTACAAACTAATCCTGACTGATCAAAATGCTTTGGGTTAGACACAGTAAACAATTTTGAAGCCAATTTAGGGTTTCTAGAAATGCAACCAAAGTATTTTTGCTCAGCTTCTGTCTGATCCTTGAATCACTGACACCAAACACTTTCAGGGCTCTCATTAACCGACCACAGGTTTTATCAGCTATGTAAGTTACTCTGAATGTACTTAGAACAGCCTGGCATTTAATTCAGTGATCTTTTAATTTAAAATACAAAAATTGTTCTGAAAATACAGATATATCAGCATGTACATTGATGTGATAAACCTGATTACTAAATATCAACATGTGATCAACACCGTCTGATGTTAAGCAACAGGCAGTGTTCTGCTTCCAGTCCCAGATTTTTCAGGTGCTTATAATTAAGTGTATTCACAAAAGTAATTTGTGAAATATCATTTCAGTAAACAAGAACTTAAAATTCTAGAAAATCTGATATATTTGAATTTCTTGTTGTTCTCTTTACATTTTTAACAGCATTGATGGAGAATCAGTGGGTGAACCTGTTAAATTTGGGCAAAAGTTTGGTCTTGGAACAACAGGAGGGTTTTCTGATCCAATGGTAAGGGAACAAAGTTGCAAATGGCAATTGATGGCATGTACTGATAGTGTGCATTTAGGTACTATATATTTCAAATTGCACAGTGGTGCAGTGTCTTAGCTTTACAGAACAGATTCAGAATCATCTGCAAATCCAAATATATAATATATATTTGGAAAGTTTATGGGACTTGTCTGAGATCAGTTGTGCAGTCCAAGGGGACAGTGACCCAGAATGATGGGTAATGCAGATTTTAAACAAGGAAAAAGAAAAAAAAATCCAAGAAGAAAATTTTGTTTCTTGTGAAGAAAAAATAGTCTGTGTATGAAGTAACAAATCAGGGGGAGATTTCTATTAAATGTGAATGTTGTTTCCCTTTGCAAGTCAGAAGGAAAGCATCAGAAATTTATTTTGATGCTCAAAATAAATCACATCAACTATGATAACATTTTCCCTCTCAACTGTCACTTGGATCTGAAGGAGTCTTTGGAACATAAAATCAATTTTCAGTTAATATTCACTGGTCTACTTCATGAATTTATTGACATTTTAGAACCTATTGTAGTGTTTTGAAATGCGTAGCTGTAGCTTGGCAGACTGTTCAGAAGCAAAGGGAATTTTTTGTGCTGGTTTTTCTTTTTTAAATTACATGTCTTTTTCCTTCTATATTTATGCATCCTTCATGTATATTTCAATCTACAGTTATATCTAGCAAGTGACCATAAGTCATTTATGAGATTTGCCAAAAAATCTTACCTTCAGCAAGTATTTTTGACAGATGAGCTTTCCTATTTGACGTGCTGGCAAGCAACCTTCTTGGATCCACAACTGCGTCTTGAATATGAAGGATTTCCCATTCCTGTAAGTCATTAAAATGGAAATAAAAAGTATTGAGTATTTAATTGTCAAAGTAGGCTGAAACAGAACCATGTATCAAGCTTTATCTTTTACATTTGAAGACTATGGTGTTCACATTCCTTCCCCTATCATTTATTTCCATTGTAAACATCGTAACTGTGCTGCAAACACTGGTTAAATTCATTCTTTTTTTCCATTAGACATCTTTTACATCCATCTACCTGCAGAAGCAGGTGGGAATATGCTGCTTAATGTATCAGTATCTGGGAATAACTTTGTTTCACACAGAGGGAACTGATCCTCTAACCTACTTGTAACCTACTGCAGGGAACCTGCTTTATCAGGAGGGTTAAACTAGATGATTTCCAGAGGTCCTTTCCAACCCTTATGATTCTGTGAATCAAGGCATTGGAAAAAATGGGTGCTTTTCCAAATATGTTTCTTTAAGTTGAAGCAGCTGCAGTATTTTCCTATTCCACATAACAAGCAGGCTTCCTGAAGTGCTGGGCAAATAACAAAATATCATGGATATAATCATTCTGAGAACTGACAGTACAAAATATCTCACTATCAATCTGCAGCACTCATACACATGATATACAGCCATACGTACTTCTATTCAGTACTAATTAAAGCATTCACCTTCAATAAGTGTTGTTAGTTTAAAATATCTATCAAGTGTATTTTTGTGTGTGTGCGTGTATTTTGTTTTGTTTGTGTTTCCTTTTCTTTTTCCCAGGCAAACTCTAAACTGATTATTACTCATTGCCATACTAATAGAAGTTTAGCTGTTCCAAGGAACTTTTCGACAAGGTGAGAATAATTTATAGCTGGTAGCAATATACTTAATGAGATATCAGCTCAGGGCATCCAGAATCACTGATAAAAAGTAAAATAATTGCTTCAGGAGCACACTGAGGAAATGGCAAAGAATGCAGGATGCACATTCTTCTTTTCCCTCTTTAAATTCTTGTGTTCTGTTGTGATGCTGCAAGCAAACATCTCTGTCTTACTTTTTTCTTTCCTTTTTTTTCCCTTTATATTATCACATCATGCTCCCAGGCTTCTGTAGTCTTGGTAGTTCTCCCTTTGAATATCCTGAACAATTGTATGTATATATATGTATATATATATGTATATATATATTTTAAGGAAAAATTGGTATGTGAAGAACTCAATAGAGATGCACCACACAAAACTATATTTCTTATATCCATATGAATCCCATAACAAATTAATGTTAATTCAACAATTTGACTTAACATGCATGTCCTGAAATAATGTTGATTAAGTATCATTAAGGAGTACACCAATTGTTTCTCATTACATTTCAGGTTAAATATTACTGTGAACTTTGTATCAGTTTTTTGAGGATGAGAAAGTTCTCTAAGGCTGAAAGGTTGCCATGGTTTTTAAGTAGCCAGAGTCATCTTCATGAGCAAACCTTCAACATCTTACAGCTAATGCAGACTTGCTGAATGCACACAAACTCATTCTACACCCTGCCTCCCCGCCCTTTTCTTTGACTTTGCAGGTCTTATTTTGGAAGGGAATATGAAGTAATTTGTCACACTTACCTGGACTCCCATCGAGTTGAAGAAGACAAGAATTACTGGGTAATAGCTACAGGAAATCCTGGTGACGAGGGTGGTACAATGCTCCATAGACCTGAACCTCAGCCAGGAGGAAAAGGAAAGAACGAGTTTCATGAAGAGACAAAGAACGTAAAAATCCCAGATTCCAACTGACACAGATTGCTTAGATTCTGATTCTTATTTTTCTGATTTTCAGATTTTAGCATTTGAAATGTTTATTTTAAAAAGAGATATGGAAACCTACCATAAAAAATTTAATATAATCTCATCATATGTGGATGGCAAAAGGATTACTAATACACACTCATACACAACATCAAAAAGCTGATGAATCAAGAAAAGCTCATTTTCCTACTTGCACATTCCCTGGTGGCAAAAGAAGTTAGAACATATTGAATTGAATTGCACTCAATTACTGGCCTTCTGGGTGTTTTTAACCAATGCTTCCTAACCCAAATCAGGATCACCGTTTTGAAAAGAGTGAGCATACATTTTCCAAAACAGTAAAGACCAAACTTATGCAAGCTATCATGTGATGCTTTGACATCTAAAGATTGGTGGAAAGAAATTAGGTGGTTGAGCTTGTTCCACACTCTATCATGAGAAAGGGGAAAGGACTGCCTGCACTGCTGGAAAATGAACAGGATTGAATTAACAATTCCTGATGCTCTAATACAATTTTAATCTAATACAATTTTAAAACCACAGATTTTTCAGATTTATATCACTTTTCTTTTTTCCTTTGCAACTTTTTTTTTTTTTTTTTAACACTTCTTCATATAGTCCACACGATGGCACCACATTCTTTTAAACACTGTGATTATTTCCAGCAGGATTATTCCTACATGTGTTAAAACAACCTGAATCATTTACATTCCATTGAGTCCCTGATACAATGCCACTAAAGAACCAGAATGAATCAAGCTCAAATTTTGGGCTCTGAGGTGTGAGTGATGTTCTGTTGTCTTTTTAGAAAATAAAATCAGTTTAAGCAACAAATGTAGACAGAATAATGTACAACACTGTGCATTGTGTGCTATCAATTTCTTAAACAAAACTGATTGGAATATTAATTTGTAATCAAAACATACTGAAGTATCTTTAGGAACTTTTTCATTCATTTCTCTGTAAAGACAGGAAACTTGATGTGCAGTAAATGATGGATATTTTTATAGTGACGCTGTTACTACTTACCTCAGCTTACAGAGGTTAAGATTCCACACATTTTGATAATAGACTGACATAATTCTACGTTGATTTTGTAGGCAGTAAACTAGAAAAACGCAGGCTGCATGAATACACTGCAGCATTTCCAATTTGACAGTTGTGGGATATTTATATTAAAACCTGTGATTAGCCATAAAAGACTGAATATTAACACAGAATTTAAACATTCCATTGACTGCCACTTAGAGACACAGTGGGGTCTAATTGATAGGGTGATGGAGATCTGAACCATGTCACTGTACAAACTAAGGGTGCGTGTTATATTTTGATTGTCCCAGTTTTGCAACCCAAGAACTATGGACAGTGATGCTTGCCTCCTTTGTAAAGCACTCTGACATATACCAACAAAAAGCAAAATCATGCATTAGGGAAGCTTTAATGCTTCTTCCAAATTAGACCCAATGAGGATAGATCTACAGCGTACATTGTGGGCAGATAAAACTCACTTTCAGGCAGCTCAAAAGCTGTTAGCATGAAGTTGATCCTGAGCCATTAGTTCCTGTTGAGAGGCAGGGTGCATTATTTCAGATTTAGTGCTGTGCTAATATAGCACTGTGGAGGTGCAGGGAGAATTCACATCTGTATGTTTTGCTGTATGGATGCATGCTAGCATCCATAATATTGAAATAAAGAAGAGGTAGAGAACTGAGAGAGTCAACAAAGACAGTTAACTGATACAGGGATAACACTGGTAAATAAAAATCCACTATCCATCTGCCTTTTCACTTCCCCTGCTCTTTTGCACATTCACTCCACTCACATTTCTCATCACATCACTTCTCCTCTGCCATGTCATATTGTTCAACCTTACTGATTTGCAATGGCTATGATGTCCTCTCGTAGCACCCAAAGACCCCACTCTCTCACTCTACACCCATCAGTACCTTCAGAGGCTGCTTTTCTATTTAGTGAGGTACTGTTCTGGCTCAGCTGGCTCGTCAGAGGAGGAAGCCACGTGCAGGCTTTGTAACTGGATAAAACATCTGAAGGGGAAAAAAAAAAAAGACCATTAAAATTAGAAATTCCACACAGCAGTGGAAGAAAATATCCAAGCACTGGAAACTTGGGTGGAGTTGACAGGTGAGAGGGTGATTTTGATAACATCTGTGCCCACTCACCCTAAATTAATATTGCACAACCACTGCCATTTGGAGTGGGGGAAACATCCTTCTAAAATCTTCTTTAAAAACACTTAGATGTACGAAAACTCAGCTAGGAAGGCCACAAAAGAAAAGACATCAAATACAGGTGGAACTTAAGAAATCTTTGTGTCATTTTGTCAGCTCTATTCTCAAAAGTTATAGGCTTTGGCCCTGGTGTTCCCCTCCCCCTCGCCTTCTATTTTTTCATCTGCCTTATGTATGGAGGGTCTGTGATGAGTTTACACCCTTCTTTTTTTTTTTACTTCTTTTGGTTGGTAAGCTGGCACAAGGCAGCACCTTTAGTACAAGAGAACAAAACATCAGTGCTGTGCTAGAAAGCATTGCCAGATAGATATCTGATTAGATTAGGTAGCTCTCAAGATGCTTCCATGCTTTTGTCCAGGAGGATTCAAAGTGCAACAGAATAGGCACAAACATTAGAAAATGCCTGATGACATTAATACCCACATTTGCTGATGAAATTAATTCATACCCTTACATCTCTGCTGTATGTTTATATGAAAAACTCAGAGAGCTCATTTCCCAACATCTGCTAAGCGCTGCCTTGTGTGGTACGTCAAAACAAAATGAAACAGACCATCCAGTTACAGGCTAGCTAGTATATATGTTTCTATAATGCTAGTCTTGTTTTAATTATAGGTTCCTTGGGGCAGGGACCGTATCTTCATCTTTTTTCCAAATACGAACAACTAAGGCAGAGACATTCACTATGCAATAGCCTAAAGCTGTTATTAAAAGTGGTTGAACGATGACAGGAAATTGAAGTAGACCTGGTGCAAATAACCAGAGATACAGGCGCATGAAATCTACGCATAAAACAGCGCCAAGTAGTAAACTCTCGGTGTGGGGTACAAAGATGCAGCTGCCCAAGTGAGTCTGACGTTAATAGGAGTTGCTAGGAGAAGAGCCCACAAACCACAGCGCTGTCCCTGTGGGTCTGACAAACCCACGTTGGGAAATAAGAATTATATGTGCCAGTATTTATTTTTCTATATATATTTAGTTATTTAATTATATGGCGTACCAAATAAAAATAACTAACCAGCTTTTAGCTTAAGTCCAGAAGTGGCACCAGTCCTGAGAAACTGAAGTGCTGTTTCTGTGTCTTGTTTGTGTTAAAACTGTTAGCACTTAGGTGATGTATGCCTGTGAAGATCTCCATCTGACTATGAAAAACCCCTTTCAATAATGGCACGTAGCTGTTTCTGAGAATATTTCAAATAGAACGTATAAAACCGTTCCATCCCAAGCAGAATGAAGGTGAGAAACTAGGAAATAAGCAAAGCTCTGAAAAAAAGCTGGAGTTATCTTTTTTTATAAGCAATATTTTAATAAAGCTTAAAATTTCTAAAATGCTATCTAGCATGGATTATTATTGTTTATAAAAAATGAAACACAGCAGTTTGTGAAATCCATATTGGATAGCAATTTCTATCCTTCCTCCCTGGTTTTCAACCATTCCTCTCTTGCCTGGGCTTTCTGTCTCTTCTGTGTCCTGAAGAAACAACTGAGCAGTTGTTTGGGGAAAAGTTTAAGGTTCATCAGACTTTCCGGTCTTTTTGCTGACAATTTTGGCAGCACCAGTTCAGCCAGAACACCCAAGATGTATTATAGTCTTGCAAGCAGCCAGTGAATTTAACTGAACGTGAAAATAATCATATTTTGCATATAAATGTATATACATACATGCATATGTATACATGGATTTATAAAAATAGAAATGAATTAGCATTATATACAAAAACCCAAACTGAATACTTTAAAGCTGACACAGCAATAGCATGTAGCTCAGTGCATGAAAGAGACCTATCTCTCTTCAGCTAAAAATAGTAACTGGTTTCTTTTGAAACTACCTGAAATAATTGGTTCTTTCAGTACAATTTTGAGTGGTCGTGGATATATTAATATTCAAGCCTGCTTATGAATGACTTCACATCATCTATTAATCCAGAATAACGTTCTTGCTACACTTTATGCTTCTACCTTGTCCCCTTTTTTCCCATCCCTTTCCCCTTTGTGCTTGCTGCACAAATCCAGCTGACCTCAGGTTCTACTTGTGGCTGAGAAGCTGCCCAGAGACAGGCCAGTGTACAAGGTTGAGCTCTTTGTTCCTCCTTAACCAGTCTCTTTAGAACATGTTGACACGTTGAGTAGACAGACAGTCTGTGTGCTCAATAATTCATAATTACAACAAAAGTGACCTTTAATCTTAGTGGCTTAAGTTCCATGATAAAGCCCTAATATATTTGTTGTGTTTTCTGAATTTGCTGCCAATAGGGCAGACAAAATTTGTTCTTCAAAACTTTGTTATTGAAATGCCAACTTTGGATCAAACATGGAATTCTAGCAAGACTGACCATATTGAAAAGCAACAGTTATAGCCAATAGAATATTTTGGACTTGAAATAAAAAATCAGGACCTTATTTTCTTTTTTTCCCCACCTCTTCTGGCATTGGTAGAGTGGTTTTTCTGGAGCCCCAAGCAAGTACAGTAGAATCCATCAGCACTCAAGTTCTTTCACAGAATGGACAATTTGAAAAAGAACTAAAGACCATGTCTCAACCTGTTGTCTGGAGAGGGAAAGCCAAGCAGGATAAAATGGGAGATCGGGGAATAAAACTGCAAACAACAGTTAACCTGAGCCTAAAAAGCTCTTAAAGAAAGTGGCCAGCTGTAACATCTTCAGTGAGCCCAGGAATGAGCAACAGAGGATGAGGCAGTCACCCAGAGAATGGAGCTGCATGGCTTAACAAGTTCATTCTTATACATGATGAACCTTAAACTTTTCCCCAAACAACTGCTTGGTTGTTACTTCAGGATATAGAAGAGACAGAAATAAAATAATAAACCATAATAAAATAATAAACCTTAAATCTTACAAAAAACAGGGATGGACTAGTATTCCACATGCATGGTAAATTGACAGATCTCAGGCAACGCACTGTAAGTGCCTTTGGTTTTGTGGCACCATCTTGGATTGTCGATCACAGTAGATAAAGAATAAAGAGACTATCAAAGGCCAAGAATCCTCTACATTGGATCACTGAATCTACAGTCACTCTTTCAAGCAAATTGAAAACCCCTTCCATTTCCCCAACTAATATATGTAACAGTATTCTATTCCACACTTGGTCATACCTATGTCATGCACATTTTCACCGCTCATTTACCATATCTATGCATCAGTATTCCTGTCTGATAAGTGGGAATAATTCTTCCCTAAAGAAGATACTGGAAACAGCTTTGTGGATGTTTTGCAGGTGCTTATAAGAACACCACAGAAATACTGCCAAGAAAATGTTGTTATTGTTCATAAATGTCCTGGAATTCTAAAATGTACTGTAAAAGATTTCTGCATATATACGCTGTCAGATCACAACAAATTTTGCATGCTTAATTAACAACAAAATTGCTAACTTCCATCATGACAAAAGTTCTCTCAATCGGTTTTCTTTTCCCCACATTCTTTTTTTCATACACAAATAACTACTTGTTTAAAAGCAATTCAGAGTGCTATTTCAATAATTGCAGTACATGACCTCCTGCAGAGCATAGCTTATTGTTCTCACTGCTCATTGAGAATTTTGATACTTTCAGAAGTTCTTGTATTTCAATGTTTTCCTCTGTCCCATGCTAATTAATATCTAACTGTG